ACAGTAGGAGTCCTTGGCCAGGTATGGACACAGCTGTGTTTGAACTGGAGACTAGTACACACCATGATAGTACACATCATGCTAGTACATCTAACATAGCACAAGAAAGAAGTGAAGGTTCAGGGCAGAGCTTCAATAGAGGATGTGGGTCTGTAGGGGTGGGTAAAGGCTCCAGGTGTGGTTGGTAATGGCACTTAAAGCAAAGCACTCAGGGCTTTGTTATCTACTTAGGAGCAAAAGAGGTGGTACTGGAGATTCAGTAGAAGTTTGGGTCTGAGGTCAATTGTGAGTGGGCCTGGAGAGAGACACACATACAGCATTCCTTAAGGAGGGACCAAAAGACTAAGGTTCAGCTGAACTGAGCTTCTGTTGTAGGTAACAGTCTTGACTTGGGGAGTGTTATGTAATTTGTTGCTGATTAACATAAAAACTGCTGATTCAGGAATTGACAAAAAACAATGCAGCAAACTGTGGAATAAACACTTAAATCTTTAATCCCCCTTTTCCCCAGCTTCAGTTCATCGTTTCTCCTTCCCTTCCTCCTAGTTTCAGTTTCCTTGTTGCACTCTCTTCTTCCCAGTCCTTTCAGTGATGCAGTAGGCAGTGTAATAGCCTGGGGTCGGTATATAATCTATATAAACGTTTCTGTCTGCCAGTGGTTGCTGCTTACTAGATTCCTCTGCTCTAGTGTGCTCTCTGGGCTGCAGTTCTTTAGGGCTGTCCCTACTCCAGTGTTAGCTTCCTGCAGAATACAGTCCTACCCGGGTGACTCTGGCCTGTGTTGGTTGCCCATGGCTGCAGTGCCTTAGACATATGCCCTCTGGCATGGAGCGCCTCCTCCCAGGAGTGTGTCTTTATCTGTGCTCCCAACATCTACTTCCAAATATCTCTTTTATTTTGTTTCTCCAAACATACCTCTCATATGTCCCCTTTTTGTGTTTCTAAAGTTTTTATTTTTTGGGTCTACTTGCATGTCCTCTGTCCTTAGCAGATACCACCTTTTCTTAATTACATTTGCTACACTGCAGTGCTGCTACATTTTCTAATTAAATTTGGCCTTAAGATGTGCCAGGGTAAGCTTAGGCTGGATATCAGGAAAAAATTCTTTACAGAAAGGATTGTTAAGCACTGGAATAGGCTCCCCAGGGTGGTGGTTGAGTCATCATCTCTGGATGTGTTTAAAAACTGTTTGGATGTGGTGCTCAGGGACATGATTTAGTGGAGGGTTGTTAGTTAGGGTAGTATGGTTATGTTGTGGTTGGACTTGATGGTCTTTAAGGTCTTTTCCAACCTGAGTGATTCTATGATTCTATGATTCTGTGTTTGAGTAGAGATGCAATGTCCTTTTCTTACTAGCTGAAAATCTGGTGCACAGTGAGTTGTTTTCATCCATTATAGAGACACCTGCAGCTGACCCAGGACAGTTCAGGGCTTTGTCTATCAAAGATCACCCCTGATATCCAAACTGTGCCAATTTCCAGTACAGATTCCTGGGCCCATGAGAACAACATATATGGGAGAGCTCCTCCAGTGAGGCTTGTCATTGCTATTAAGACTATTAAGCCCCTATTAGGGCTTACTCTTGCCCTCAGAGTTCTAACACTATTTCCTTTTTCATGACTTCTATAGCTGATTTTATTTTCTATGTATTTAATATTTGTCAGTGGATATCTCTTCCGCAGTTTTGTCCAGTTTCCTTTTAAAATCATGTAAGATTTTAGCATCTCATCAGTTGGGAGAAGCATTAAACTAAGTATCTTGATTGTGACCCTTGCCCAAGGTACTTTGCTTGCCTGCATCGGGCCAAGAATCTCATTGTACTGGAGGACCCTGTAATTCATAAGATACCCTTTGGATGCAGTAAAGAAGACACTCAGAAACTGTAAGGTATTGGTTAAAATACAGTTTACTGGAGCTAACACAAGAAGGGAAAAGGACATAGCACAGATAATTTTTCACATCCCGTCAGAAGCTGGACACCCTAAGTTGTGTAATTTTGGACAGAGCTTTAGTCATGGCAGATTGCACAGATCCCATCCATACAGAGGTTCGCTGGCATTGTGGTCTATGTGTTTTGCCAGGACATTCATAGAAGTAAGCAACACTGTTGAGCAAGAATGTGTTTATATGGATCCATGCTGTTTTTCTTCAAGATAAAGAATGTGCCAGAGGCATCATCACCTGTTGCCATTCTGGGGCCGTATACATGGGTTTAACCTTCTGGTTTGATCTTTGGCCTACCTCACCACTACATATTTGGTTGGGAATCACTGATCTATGGCTATAGTATTGGGAAATGTAGCACTTAATCCCTTATCAGGCCCTTCTAGCCCTACTGTCACTTGTGGCCCTCGGTCTCCTTCCCTTGCTGAGCAGACTGACACTTGCTGCTCCTCAACAGTCATCTTTGCAGTTTATTTTCCAGACTGAAGAATCTTAGATCATGAGCCACAGGAAACAGCAAATAAACTGCTCCACATCCAATCAATATTTCATAGAATCATAAAGGTTGGAAAAAAACCACCAAGGTCTAGTTCAATATGCTGTGCTTTTCCAGGTAACTTTTGAGAGCCCAGAGTAGCTCTGAACCAGGATATTCTCTTGACTGCTCTTCCTCTGGTGACTATGACACCACATGCGGAGTCTTGTAACTTCAGCCATAGATTTGGTTTGCTTAAAAGAAGATAGCCAAACGTGCAGAGAAGTGCAGAATAGACTCAGATGGTCTCCAAATGATTCTGTGATGGTTCCTTCTACAGATGATGTGAGAGGGAAAGGTACACTTAGTTCAGAGAGCATTTCTCATGAGGCATTCAAAAGAGTGTGATTGCACCTGGCTGTTTTCATTCCATGGACCACTAGAAGCGCTGCATCTCTAAGCACACAGTACTGAGACGATATGAGGTGAAGTGAAGACAGAAGGCGATGTCTTCACATAACAACTTCAGTCATGGTATCAGGGAACAAAAAGGACTACTGGACAATACCTGGACTTGGGATTCATTTCTCTTATCCCATGCTGGGCTTTAGAGCTCAGAGGCACCTTTGTAGTGCCCTGCTCTTTCTGAAAGTCGATAAACATCATTTTTTATCCTTAGTGACACTTAATGGCCTTTTTAAAACAAGTCAAATGCTTCCATTTCCCATTTAAGACATTAGGTGGACTCTGTGCCTTGGATACCCTCTTGTGTATAGTTTTGGGAATTCATCATTTCTGCCCTGATTTTCTTCATCTTTTGCTTTGAAAAGATCAAACAATTGGATAGTTGCTTTTTTTTAGTTCACGCTATGTATTAAATACTTCCATAGCAAATGTGGATACTTTACTGTTATTGTACCCAGAAAGTGCAGAGTGACATACCTGTGTATTTCAGTTCCATATAACTGCTTAGTAACCTTACACACTCTGCTGCTCAGGACAATATTTTACCAGTCCTGCCTTTTTTCCTTTGCCATTTGTTAGTTTGTTTGGTTTTAGTTGTAGCAAAACTTTATTGACTGCTTGTCAAAAACTTGAAATTTTGTAGTTCTTGAAATACTTCTTTTTTGCTTGAATCCTACAGTGCAAACTGTAGCTAATCCTTTCTGACCCTCTTGAGAAGAACCAGTAATCGCATTTCTCCCATTTGTAATGGGTATGAAATGTGTTTCACTGCTGCTAACATCATCATTTCAAGTTACAGTTAGTGCTGACATGGCACGTGTTTGAGGCAGCTCTGAAGTACTGAAGTATCAGTATTTTTTCAGTATTAATACCGTAATTTGCAATTCTGCATGTGTATCCCAGCAAAAAACTCTGTTATTAACACCGGTAACCATTATAATTGGATAAAATATAACCTAAAGAGCCTTTCCTCTAAAGACTGTGAAATAGCAGAGGATTGTCACATTAGGCAATAGAAAGATTTCTTCATGTGATTCTTGTCAGCATGGGAAAGCTGAAGCAGTCTGCCTTTTAATACTTCTCTCATATTTGTAAAGTTCTATCTTGTGTGCATCACATTGATGTATTTGCTGAGGATCCTTAGAGGATTTCTGTAAAAGTTCTCTGGAAATACAGTAAGTTCAAAGAATTTTGTTATTTGATATGCTGTATTGTGAGAAGCTCAATTTAAGAATAGGAGCTATAGGGTTTAACCTTGATTAAACCCAGTTACAAAAAAAATCTTAAAATATTTAGTGACCTCATATATGGGTACATTCTGGTTGTGAAAATAGAATCCATTTTCCAGCTTAATCACTTCTGTCAATAATTATTACCCACTATATCATATTTTTCAGGTTGTGTAGTACAGTAACCCAGAATAGATGATGACATGTTTTGTTTGCGAAGCTTTTATTAGAATAAATAGAAAGACCATTAATTAGCATTCACAAAATCAGTGACATATCACTGGGATGAAAACGGGAAATAATATCAATCAGGAAGATGTTTTGTTTGGAGATGATTTAAGAAGAAATGGTAGACTTTCTGTATGCTCCCTCAGAAAAAAAGTTACACAGCCTTAAAGTATTTGCAGCACAAATAAGTCCAAATAAGACAAATGGTCTGCTGAAGTTAAAAATTTCATCTGCAAATTGTCCAGGCATGACAAGGATGATTGCCAAGAATGATTGCCCAGCCAATTCAATGGAAAGGACCAGGATTTTCCTGAAAGCTGTGTTCATTTCAGAGAACTTCTATAGAGAAACCAGATTCTCAATAACAATGGCAGGACTTCACACACACACACAAAAAAACAAAGCACTGGCCTTGTTTCCCAAGTTATTCAAGCATATTGGAAACATATACACCTTAGATATGAATCCTGAATGTAAGCTGAGAATAAATTCCTGCACATAAAGATCTGAAATTTCACATGCTTCTTTAAGAATATCTCCTTAGATATTGAAGGCTTTCCACTTGGATAAAATATTGCATTGAAATTATGTTACAATACTACAGTAAAGAGGTTTGATTTCTGAGGGGAAGGTAAGCATTATTTCAGCTCTTTCTCTCTTTAGGGAGACCAATATCTACCAAAGAATAGAATAACATTGGTTGGGTTGAATCTGATCAAGAAGAGGAATGGGTGGTCAGCCCTAAACTCTTCTAACTCAAGGGAATGCTTGATGTTTCCAATTGCCCCTGTTGCACCTGCCGCCTCAGTGCCCTCTTCATTGACTTCCATGAACGCCCCATGGACAGCATCAGAGATCATCAGGTTATCTACTGAAGAGATGCCGGTCAGGTTGGCTGAACGGCTGAACAGGTCAGTCATCCCCAAGGCCATTAATATAGATGTGAGGTTATATTTTTCCTCAATCTTCATGCGGGGCAGGTACACTTTCATGCTCTTCTTTTCCATTGCATTGGTACTAGTCCACTCTCTGAGTTTTTCAAAGTTAATTGTCTTCTCAATCTGCAAAGAGAGGGATAGAATGAAATACAGAAGGCAAGAACACAGTGGCCATAACAAGTGTATTAATACCACTTGTTACTATTTTTTTCATTTATTTGTGTGCACAACAGGAGTGACACAAGCGTAAATCTATTTGTTTATCCTTTATGCTTTCTCCTGACTATAGCCTACATATCATCTGTCTTGATGAAGTTCTCCAAAACTTTGTCATCTGAAAATTTTTCCAACAGATCAGATGCCCTTCTGAAAAATCAGGTTTTGATGATGTCAAATCAAATTTGTGCTCATTTGCAGATATTTGCAGATGTTTGCAGCTAACTTTTCAGAAATGCTGTTTGTTTTCTGTACTTGTTATATTTTTTCTAATTCAATGAGAAAAGATCTTTTAAAATATCCCTCGCATTTACAAAAAAAAAAAAAAAAATTGAATTGAATTATTTGTAGGGGTGACTCTTGTGAAAAAAATCTGTTAATGGTCATCAACAGAATAATTGGTCCCTGTGACTTGATAATAGTGTGTGAGCATTACTTGGTCTATGGAAATTGAAATGTCTTCAAAGGAAAAAAAAAATCCAGCTAACATATCTGTCTCTAGTACCTGATGGAGATAACTGCATATACCAACATCCCTTCCTGCAGGACTGCAGCAGCCCTTTGTTTTTTGTTAGCTACACTCTTTATTTAATAACATCAAGGCCAAGGCTCTCCTTAGAGGCCAACCTCTGCCTGAGCACCTGGAAGCGCCTGGGCCACTGTTGTGCTCTCCTGCCTGGGCAGCACAGCACAGCCAGGGGGTGAGAGGACAGCCTAAGGTCTGAAGGCAGCCAGCTCCCATTCAGCTCAGAACTAGTGGCCTTCCCCTGCCAGGGCCGTACCCGCTCCAGGCCAGAAACCTCATCAGGCAACAGCACCAACATGCTCAGCTCTCCGCTGGCGTATGGGAGCTCCAGGATCCTCATTTTCTCTGCAGGCAGTGTGGCCACATTAAAGGTATTGTTCAGACACATCATTTGCACGGGTTTGCTTTCTTGCTGCGAAACAGAAGCACAAGACAATGTGAGCAGGGAGCAATTTTTCTTGAATTTTTCCAGTTGCAGTGCCCATGTCCCTACCTTTGTCATTCTGAAGGGCATTTCCTGAGTGTCTTCTGTATTAAATGCTGTCTTCCATATCCCTTTGAAGTAAATGGTGTTAATAAAGACCATCATTGTACCAAAATCAATGGAGCTTGATACAAGCAAATCTTTGATCTGTCCTGTGAAAAGGAAGCAAAGCAGTGAGCGATTAGGCATAGCCTGTCTGGTTTGCATGAATGTCTGCAATGGAGGGCATGGTGAGTTCTGTGGGAGATTGCTTTCACGGCAATAATCAAGTGCTGTTCCTTGGTCTGCCTTTTCTAGACATTTTGAAGAGAGGAAGACAAGGGTATAGATTATGGTCGGTAGGAATAAATGTCAGTTATTTTTTAGTTCTTACCATTTGTCTCTTTTTCCACCCAGGAGTTTATGAGCTGCCTTGCTTCTTCAGCAGCTGTTCTGAAGTTAACTTCTTCCACTCCTCCTGTGTAGAACTTCCTTGCACAATTTAAGTATTCCTGTAAGCAGACAAATTGTGTTTGACTGTTAAGAACTTTAAAATAGAAGAACGTGAAATGCAAAATTAATGAAATGGAGAATGATGGTTAAAAGAAACTTCTATCCCTACTCTTGAACAAGTCAAACAGCTCTCTTGCTGTAACTGAATCTTAAAGCTGGACAAGGACATTTCACATATTTAGATTTGTCACTTTTGTCTTCAAACAGGATTCCAAGTTAGAATTTTGAAATAGTTTCTTTATTTTACCATAAAACCTTCTGTTCGGCAAACATTATTGAAGACAGACAATACTCATTTCCTCATCTTCATGCCCACCTTTTCTTTTGAATTCTGTATTCTTACATTCCTATTTTTTTATTTCAAAACTAAAACTTTCTTGAAGTGAGATATTTTATGTGTAGCTTTAAAAAAGATGAACAAAATATTTTAGTCAGTTTCAGTCCTCACGCTTTCAAGTCATTTTCTTCCCTTACAAATCACCTTTTTCATTAAAAGACCTTTTTTTAATGAATGAACAGCAATTCTGATTGCTCCCTGTAGCAATTGCTGCATGGGCGTGTATTGCAGAGTCGCAGAATCTCAGGAGCTGGAAGGGATCTCTGTAGATCATCAATTCCACCCTCCTGCAGGGGTTCCCTACAATAGGTTGCACAGGAAAGCATCCAGATGGGTCTTGAGTATCTCCAGAGCCCTTATGCTATTGCCTGGCCTCCTCCTAAAAGCCACATAAAGGTTTGGACTCATTCTGTGGCCCAAACCAATTCCCACTGTGGCTCACAGAAGTGCTGAGTCCCAGACGAGCCCAGTGGGCAATCTCAGTAAGGTTAAGTCACACTTCAACTCACCGGAAGAACTGCAAATGTTTTGTCAACGTAGAGTTTGTGAGCAATCTCGAGTGAGTATGTAGCATTTGGCCTGGTGATTTCTGAGAGAAAGTCCTTGAACAAATTGTGGATGTATTCAGAAGAGCCACACTGAGGTGATGACAGGGAAACAAGATGATATGTCAGATTAGCTTCTCCTTGTCTATCAAATCAGACCCAAAGGACTGTCCCCATCAATAACAGGCCATAGTGGAATTTACCCACAGACCTGGGCTGATGATGCATTAAGCAGATAAATAAACCAATCTCCAAGTCAGTTTCCCTGGCTTTCAACAAGCATGAGTTAGACCCACTTTTCCTCCCTCCACAGATCTGCTTGGTTTGAGAGCATTACCATCACTTTTGACAGTCTGAAACTGCTTGGAACAGAGGCAGAATAGTTCTAGTTTTGTTCTGAGGAGAAAATAGGAGCAAAAGGAGAGAAGTTATGTCTTTACCTGAGAGTCAGTGGTGCTTCCAGCTCCTGTAATGCTATCAAAATGAAGAGCCTGCAAGAGAAAATGCCAGTGAGAAAAAAACACAAGCATGACCAAAAATGTTATACATTTAAAATTTACATGTGATGTTCGGAGTAGAGCTGTTGGCTCAAAAACAGAAACAAAAAAAAAAAAACAAGCCCACAACAAATGCTAGATTAGATGAACTAAAAGGCTGCAAGTGAGCTTGCAGCTGGTGCACACTTCATGTCACCTTCTGAGAAATTGGAAATAGCCCTATTTGCTTAGGTTATATTTTTTTCAGTGAGCATCTGTAGGTTAACTTATTTGTGTATTATGCACTGCGAATAATGTTCTCTCTCTTCCTTATTTTCCCAGGGTTTTGTCTTTTTAATATAAAAATAAAAAATATAGAAAAAATAGATTATGTAGAAGATGTCAGAATTTAGAAAAAAATAATACAATTCCCTGACTATGATCCATCCAGTGAATTAAAACATGTGAGAGCCTCATGAGTAGATAAAGTGTTATTACTTAGAAGGAATAACAAGCAGAACTAGAGTCCACTGTCCATGTTACACCAGTGTAAGTAACTCACCTTCTTCATCTGAGATTCAGTGTTACCTCTTGCCCCCAAATAGACCATGGCCAGGGCTGTAAGGATGCTCAGAGGGGAATACAAGATGTTCTCATTGACATGATGGACTTTCATCTCGTTGAAAACATCGAAACAAAATTTTGTATTTGTTACGCTGATGGAATCCATTCTGAAATCGGCGTTGTCTAAAGCAAACATTAAAATGTATTAGTTGTATTGCAAGGAAGTCAGTGCACTTGAACCTTTGTATACAGTGCACAGCTTATTTTCAGTAAGTAGAATTCAGTAGTGTGGATTTAAAAGGCAGATTAGTGTGGATTTAAAAGGCAAATATGTTCTTGGATTTGTGAGCAATCAAAATCCTGTATAGCTACCAGTTGTGTGTAGGCTGGTGACTGTTTTATTTGAAATTTGAGTTATCCTCTGTACATGTGTACTGTGTTGAAAATATTGCAAAGACTTGCCTTGAAAGAAGCTTATTGACAATCATTTCTCATCTTGTACAGAAAAGAAAACACACAGAGGCTTGTTCTAAGCCTTCATTCATCTGAGGCTGCAGACCAGGTTCTTCACTGTAGTTTTTAACATCACTTTTAAGGCCTGTTAATAGATCAGCCCTCTGTGATCCAAACAGCAGTTACTGACAATATAAAGTCGGTAGGTGTGGAAAAATGCCACGAGTTTTTACTGGATTTACTCTACCTGCATGTAAATGGAAGCTGGATTCTTATACCAACCACTTTATCAGAGGTCTCAAACCTCATCGTTACTTTCTTCTTAAAAATCGATTAGGGGAATGGAAGCACAGTGATAGAAAGAGATAATGATTTACCAAACTCATCTGCTTTATGACAAATGTCTATTAACTAGTACATGTTCCATTCTAGGTTGACTTAATTATACCTCACTTTTCAAAAATTGTTCTTTAATTTTATTGGCACCTTTTTCATAAAATCCACCTTTTAATAAAACAGCAATTGTTTAGTCTTGTTTCATTTGCAGATACTTCACATCTTCAGTATTTAAACATTTTTTCTGCCTTTTTTTCTGACATTCTTGTGAAATTTTCCCTGAAGTTTCAGCACGTAGCATTTTATCTAACAGTGAAGGAAAAAAAACCTCTTTAGTAAAGAAGACAACATAGAATAGACAACAGTGTTGTAAAGCCAAGTGCAGCAGTAAGGTGTTTATACTATTTGCATCTTCCCATTTTGTCACAAGCAGAGAGAATCTTCCTAGGGCAGAATTTTCCAAGTGCAGGGGAAATCCAAGATATTCTGCCAAATGTTTCATTGTGTGGAATCAGTACATTCATGTGTTCCATCTCTCTCTTAATTTAATCACGTCTGTGATTTACTAAGCTTTACTTCATACAAATACTTCGACTTCATACCTGGCAGGCTGTGAAACAGTACAGTAATGCAGATCACACATGTGAAGGTGAGAATAGATTTTTTAACAAGTCATCCTTTAATCGTTTGTTTCTTGACTGTTCTTGATCACAAACCACAAACATGACGTTCCATCAACATTTTTGTAAGTTTTATGATGATTAATAAAAAAAGGTTTAGAACATCAATCATAACCAAAATAAATGCTTACCTTATCAGCTTCACGTGTGATGATAAGAGTACAGCTTCTCAGCTGTACGTGGTACAGCCTTGTAGAACTCCTTGAAATATATCCTGTGTAATGTCATGACACGCCCCAGGCTGCCTGTTCTGTGTTTACCAAACCAAATGATGGATGGAACTCAATGTCAGAAACAAACTTTTATTTGGTTGAGGTTCATTAGGTACCAAAAAAGAAAAAAAAAAAAGAAAGAGGGAAAGAAAGAGGGAAAGAGGGAAAGAGGGAAAGAGAAGAAAGAGAAGAAAGAGAAGAAAGAGAAGAAAGAGAAGAAAGAAAAGGAAGGAAGGAAGGAAGGAAGGAAGGAAGGAAGGAAGGAAGGAAGGAAGGAAGGAAGGAAGGAAGGAAGGAAGGAAGGAAGGAAGGAAAAAGTTGGAAGGAAAGAAAGACAAGGAAGGAAAGGAAGGAAAGGGAGGAAGGCAGGAAGGCAGGAAGGAAGGCAGGCAGGAAGGCAGTCAGGAAGGCAGGCAGGAAGGAAGGAAGGCAGGCAGAAAGGCAGGCAGGAAGGCAGGAAAGGAAGGAAGGCAGGAAGGCAGGAAGGCAGGCAGGCAGGAAGGAAGGAAGGAAGGAAGGAAGGAAGGATAAAAGGGAAAAAAAGAAAAAAAGAAATAAGAGAGAAAGGAAAAGGTTAAGAAAGAGAGAATGAAAGAGGGAAAGAAAGAAAGAAATCCTTAAATGAAATGAAGGATATCATGTGGCACCTTGGAGAAAAGGATGGAGCATACTGCAAAGACTGAAACAAAAATATAAAAGCTGTTCGTTGAAATTTGAGTACTGAGTATGACTCGAGTACAGAAGCAAATGCCGTGGCATGGATAGTGAAAACAAAGCAAAAAAAATGTGTGATATTAAGTTATGCACAGTGTCTCTAAGGAATTCTAAGCTAATTTTCTTTTTTTTTTCTTTTCTCTATAATGAGTACTGACGTAACGAGTACTGACACTCCAGACCCCTCTAGCAGTCACCATTCTGAGAATATAAAAATGCAGTACATGCAGGACTGCTTGCTGTTCTGTGCCCACCCTGTACTTACTGCAACTTTTCATAAATTCACAGAATCGAAGAATCATTTTAGTTAAGGGGCTCTTGAAGACCGTTGAGTCCAACTCCACTGCAGTGAATAGGAACACCTATAGTGAAAACTTGTATGTAATTGTCTAGTTCTTGTGCCTGGTGCCACTTAAACCTGAATTGCAAAAAATAAAGCATTTTGTAGAGCAGTCTAGCATTACTAGAGCAGTCTGACTCAGGGAACTTGTGTGCCAACATGGTCTGTGCAGATTGTCAGTAGAAAACTATCAATAAGCATATTGTATAAATACAAATTAATTTTGAAAGCAATATTCAGAGCGTCTGTATTTAAAAAAAAATATGGAACTGAAGAAAGATGTATTGTGGCAAAAGAGGTTGAGCAAAGAAGAGACTTCTGTTGCTTTTTAAATTCAGGTATTAGGATATTCAGACTCGAGTCAGAAGCTACAAGGAAAGCATTCAAACTCACTGCTACAATTTAGAATGTTGTTTCAAGTTGCTCTTTTCAACCAGGTCACAGCGTCACATGTGAGTTTCAAAATGTGTCTTTTGTACATTCAAAGAACATTTTTACAGATTGCCCACAAGTAACTTCATGGCACATCAGGTGAAACATTCATGGTCTGCAGGACAGTCATAATATACAATAGCAAGCATAAAGCAATCTCATAAATCCTTTGAAATAAAAGAATGGGCAGCAAACAAACTACTTTGACCTCTGAGTATGCTGTGATTTTAAAACAGAACTCCAAAGTCAATAGACAAAATGCCTCTGAAATTGTCTAGAACAAATTATGCTTTCTGGAGAAAATCCTTCTAGTTTTCTGTGCAAGTGGAAAGCCTCTGAATAGTCCATACCTTTCTGCCTAATAGTTAGTCTTGTTCAGCTGAACATACTAGAGCAATACTAATAATGAAGAACTCTGTCTGTCTGATACATTTAAGTACAACTAATGTTACATGGTACCATCTATAACCCAGTCCAGTCTGGTACAGACATTGCTATGCAACAGCAATACTTTTGAGTAAGGATTGTTTGGCCTTAACTCATATTGGTAGCCAATTACATCAAATCTGTTATAAAGGGAGCGAGCCATTCTCTTGCTTGAACAGTACTTAAATTATGACTGCTGTGAGTTCCATTTTGCTGAAGATGATATCTGTGCTGGTGGAAAGACATATCAACTGACTGAATGTGTCTGTTCATGGTGAATATCTTTAATCACACAATTTAGAGCACTCCCCACACTGCAGGATGTTTCTGTGGCTGCTGCCCCTTCTCCCTTTTTTGCTTAAGGCTGTTTTTTGTTCAGTCTTTAACACTCAGTGCTGTGGTCCGTTGTTGTGTACTTGACAGCTCAAAAGTCAAAGGATTATCCAACAAGTTGTACTGTGTCACTTCTACCTTTTAAGCATGCCTTAAATCTTTTTACTATCAAACTGTCTAGCAGCGTGCTACAGCTTGCTGTAGAAGAGCCCCATGAGCATTTGTGTGCCATTTTCCTGAATCATGTGCTTGGGTCATCACAGACAGCCTACAACTCAGGATCTACAAAGATACTACAATTGTGTCATAACAGCGAATTCAGAGCAGTAATGCTGTTAGTAATTATATGGCTTTCAAAATATCTCTGAGTTAAATATACTCAGCGCTGAGAGGAATATTTTTGTTTTGAGATAGAAAAGGGGCAGCAGATTCCTCCAGAAGTTGTTAATACACATCCCTGCTATTGCTGTTGGACTTTTTCTTTCTGTCAAATGAATGGTTAATCTAAAGTGAGTTGCAGAATTTAAAAATCAGTCCACAATAAATGAAAATTTGGATCGTGGTCAGTCATCAGTGCAGAATCATCAGAGTATTAGGGTTCTTGTGTAGTCTGCTTATGAAGTTTAGATCTGTTGTGAAGTCAAGCAAGATTAGGCAAACCTTCCTGTAGGTGAAATGCTTTCTGGGATAGCTGATGGATTATGCTGTTACGCTGTCCAGCATAGCTGTGCAATGCTGCACAAACACAAAAGGATGTGTTGTTGTGACATGTCCTTTTTTTGACAATGCTTGTCCCAAGAAAGAGGTCAGCTAAGACTTAGCTGTTATTTGCTTTTCCAAGTATTTCACTGTGGTCCTGGCCCTAAACTAACAGGCTCTTTGACGTCTGATCCTTTCCAAAAGAATATGAAGTCCAGGTCAGCTCATTCTATCACAAAAACATTTGCACAACTAGAGATTTTGTTCTCATTTATGTTTCCACTGTTTCTCTGGTAGCAACAAGCTTATTGATCATTTAGCGTTTGTCCTGCCCACACCAGTGATTTCTTAGTTGCTGTTGCAGAAATTGATGCAATAGCTATCAGTGGTGATTTCCCACTCAGTTGTTCTGTGGGGTTCTGTTGTTTCCTTAGTCCAAAGAAAATCAGTGTCTGGTCAAGCTTTTTCAGACAGAGGCTCACAGTGTATCAGACACCTTTCTGCAGCAGTGCTGTGCCATTCTGAAGAGATTGACATCGTT